TTCCACCGCACTGAAGAAGTCCTGGTGACCAGTTTTGCAAGTTTGTATCTCATTTCCTTAAGCTTTTCATATATTTTTGCTTATCAAATGACCAGAAATAGCGGTAAAATGCATCAAATTCAAAGGATGCACCATTTTGCAATTTCATTTATCCAGTATTATAAAAATATCAAAAAGACCAGCTGTACTTACTCCAAGTTCAAAACCTGACTTCAACACTTAGAAATTAAAACCAAGACAAAGATTGTTCCTGGAGGAAAAATAAAGTTGAAGTTTACTTGTGGCTTATTTTGTTGAGTGTGACATCCCGGGGGAATCCGGGGAGCAATAAGCACCCCAACAAAAATGAAAATCTTCAAAGACTTTTCAGTTCAACCCAGGTCAGTAGGGCAGAAAAAAGGGGGAAACGGGACCTCCTTCGGTTAACCACCAATACATCAGCCTCCATGACTGCACAACACAGGCCATAATAGCCTTTAAAGGGATGACATCATGAACACAGCAATGGAACAAACCACCTCACCATCCCACCGAGTGTGAGATGTCAGACAGGCTGCACGCTAAATCGTTTTTTCATGCACAAAAAGAGACAGAATGTGGGGTTTTTAAGGAGGGATGGGGGTGGATGAAAAAGGAAAAATTCCAGGAAGTGTTGGCAAATACCAGAGACCTGGATTAGAGAGAAGAGAGGGGAAGTGTTTCTCTGCATGTGCGCCTCCTTAAAAATTCCGCGAGGGACTGAGGGAGAGGTAACATTTCATAAACAAGAGACAGAATATAAGGAAAACTGAGAAAATAAAAATAAAGAACACAAGGAAACCTGTTAAAAGCTCACCGGTGTATCATGACTGTAGGTGGTTGCAGCCGGTGTGTACGCACACTTGTGAACAAAACTATTCAATCATACACAATCATTCAGGCTTTCTGGCATGTGCGTGTGTGCACGTACATACCAAGAGATGCAGTCATGACGGTGACACTCTCAGAAGTTGTCCTCCTGTTTGTAGGTTTCCTGTTTACCCCCAAACTTCCAGGATCTCCCCTTCCTGTTCCAAAAACCTCTATCTCTTTCTACTACGCTCTGCCTCACTGTGTGAATGAAAGCCTCCCTGTGACCAAGAATCTCCTCCTCTCTCTCTCTCTCCCTTTTTTCACTTCTGTATGCAACAAAGCAATGTGTACTCAACTCACTGGAGGTTTCTTGTGTGTGTGTGTGTTCAGGGGCTGGATAGTTTCGCTGCCATGCCCAATTCCTTTCGTATCCCAGATGGAAAAATGAGCTCCCCTGTTTGTTCCTGGCGTGTTGTGACTCCGCACAACTTCTGGGTTTGTATGAAGGGAGGGACAGAAAAGAGAGGGAGGAAGAAAGAAGAGGTAGGGAATCCCCCCCGCCCTCCCAACCCCCCATTCCCTCCCTCTTACTGACCACTGAGCATTGTTCCTGCTCAGCTACTGTGAGCACTTTCCCCCAATCAGAGTGGATACCAGAGGGGTCAGAGGTCACTTGTGGCCTTTTATGGACCATAGAGAGAGAGGAGGAGGTGGTGGGGTTTGAAGACTTTCTATGAGCTCTCTGTCAGGGCATGTGTGTCCACTCCCACCATCTGCTCACTACAAATGCAAAGGAAAAGGCATGCAGACACACTGACAGTGTCTCCTGCCATGTGTCTAATCTTAGCACCTCGTAAATTACACCATAAAGCTCCTGATGAATTGAATTGTGTTTACTTTTGCTTGAAATGAAGCATGTGCTGCATGCCTGGTTTTGACAGGAAATGAGATGGAATGGATTTTAGTTTTATCTTCATTGTTTGTTTTTTCCTTTTTTATTTGTAAAATGCATGCTAGTTTTACTGCTCAATTTGCTATACACTGCTGTAACATTTACAGAGATGAAGTTGACTTGAATTGCTGACTTCAGTTATTCATCTACACACGCCTCAAACAGCATCAAAAAGAGTTATCGAGTGTTGCATTAGCTCAGGCATGCTGCATAGTCACTCAAGCTCAGCTTGCAAGCCACTTTGAAACCCACCTCCAGCTGCTTTTTGGTGTTAATGATTTCATCTTTGTCATATCTCTTATCAGTGATGACTGCTCTGTTTTGTGATGGGATCTTGCTGTTGCTCTGCATGTGGAAGAATGTGGAGTTTTATGGCCAAATATAAATTACTTCAAATGAGAAAACAGTCTTCTTTTGACTATCAGACTCCAAGCTGAGATGCACTGGGACACCCCAAGTGTGACAAACTAAGCAAAGTACTTTAGTTGCTTTGTATATCCATCTTGTATATAATCGTAACTTCTATGAGACACATGTGTAGTGAGTGAAATTATCACATTATTCATTATGCAAGCTATTTTGCATGACACTGTGCATACTACAGGCAACTTTCAGTCTTTTGTTGACATCTGGATCATTATACTGCATGTCTACACAATGACCGTTGAAATATTTAGCTAAAGACCCTTTAGCTCACTCCTATTCACTAAGCACAACAAAAAGCAACCGTTTGAAGAGGTCGTGCTCCCCTCTGTGCTATACCCTCTGACTTGCTCCCGACCTTTCACCCCTGAGGTTCAGAAAGTCAAGTGTCTATCTGAGCAAACCATCTGACTCTGTTAAACCTCAGCTCGTAACTACATCTACATTCCTTGGCTAAAGCCTGCTTCCGCTGGCTGAGACCTTCTGTATATATATCAGTGTTTATTTTGATTCATACAAAAGTACACACAGAAATTATCATTACATAACACTTGAATTTGAGCTTGCCATCACGAGGATATGAAAGTACACAAGTGCAGAAACCGCAGCAGAGTTCATCTTTAGGTTGATGATTGCCTGGTACTGTAATGTTGGTTTCCCAAAGGCTTAGATGTGAGTCTGCTATCCATTTTAAAAATCTTAGTGTTGTTACTAAACAGCCTTAAAGCATATAGCATGTGTGGGGTATCTCTGTTTTGGTAAGAAATGTCTGTAGGCACTCATATAGTAGCATATACGCAATGCATTGACTGGTTAAAACACTTTTTATAACAACATCCCATATGTTATATGCAATGTTTGAATAATTACCACCTAACTCTGAAATCAACCCTAGTTCTATCATGTGTTTTACCCTACTATCATTTCTGGGTATGGTCCCCAACTTTATAGTTTTGGTTCAGCTTTATGATGCAGTAGCTCTTCTCTTTTGGCTATTTACCTTTAAGAAATAAACAATATGTTGTTTTCTGCTTTATATTATACTTTTAGATTTGGCTTTTGTGCTACTGGGGTGCTAGTAAATGCATTAAGTGTAACTGGCAAATTCTGTGACTGCTTTACCTGTTTCACATGTTTTTTTTGTTTTACATTTTTTGTCTTTTCTTTATTAGGAAATGAGAAACACTATAGTTAGATAATTTTTATGGTTAGATAAGACTTTCAAATTCATATTCTGGTTTATTATCTGTCTAACTCTATATTGCCTATGTGTAGCTGCTTTTTATCTTTGCATACTTTTGCTCAAGTGCTAACTGCCCTCTAACTCCAGAGATATAGAATGAGTAATAGCATCTCACTAAACTCTTGGCAAAGAAACAAAAGACAATTCCCCCTAATTTCTATTTATTTAAATAAAAACAACTTTCACATGTTAGTTTAATAAACTCAGTTTTCCTTTTAGACTCAAATTAGAGTAGACTTTAAAAAAGTCTATCAAATTCACTGGAATACTAAAATGTACACTATAATTCTACGAGCTTCATAAAAATACCAGCACATATGACACACCAGGATCTGTTGTGAATACCTCAGTAGTCGTTACTGGAGCATTAGTGTGTCTGACTGGGTGCGCCGTTGTTTTTTAGCTGCCTGATGCTGTCCACAGCAGTAGCCTAAGGTCAGACTGTGATTACAATAATGACTGTAAACATTAAAAAAATATTTCAAATGTGGTACGTCACTGTTTTGTCCAGACAAGGCAAACTGTTTCCCAGACTGCAGTTTAATTTTAAGTTGGGGAACAGGAAACTGTTGTCTGATCCCCGAGCGAAAGATATTTGGTGTTGTTTGTTAATTCATCCATGCAGTAAAGAAAAAAAAGCCTTTTTTTACATAACTGATGATTACTCTTTCAGCAGCTATTACTCCATCCTGCTGCCGCTCTGCTTTGAAAAACGTGTTTACAATAAACAGGCAGACCCGCTGTTTCAAAGCTCAAACTAATCTGCCTGCAATACAATGCAAAATGCCACCATAAATATCACTTTAATTACCATCTCTATAATAGGATATCACCATTGCAACCAGTGTTCCAAACCGCCTCTGGCATTGCCATCAGCACAAGAACTGTGCACCAGGAGCTTCACAGCATAGATTTGAATAGCAGAGCAACTCCTGTACATATAATGTGCGGTTGGCCTTGAGACAACATTCACCATGTTGCCTTAGTATGATTAAATGCTCATTTTTACTGATTTCTGACAGCACAATAAACTCCTCCAGCAGCTATGTGGTACGCACCTCCTCAAGCAGGATGTCCCAACAACAAAAGACCCTCCCCTCTCCCCCTGTCCCCTCCCAGAACAGGACATGAGTGGACATCCTGCCACCAGTGGTCTCTTCCTCTGTTACCGAGAAACTATTATTAGCGGATATCCAGCATCAGCTGTCATGCATGACAAGATATCGAAATCCTTTTGGTTTAAATAATATAAAGATATAGATGAAAATAATGAAGACAAAGGTCTAGAAATCAGCCATATATCTACCCTGACCACACACAAATGACCAAAAACAAAAGCCATGCCCGCATATGCAGCTAATAGCAACAAAGCATAGGTTAGGTATGTGTATGAGTGTGTGTTTTTGGTATCCTATGCCAGAAGGACATTCCAGCCAACTCTTGAACCCTGTCCAACAGCAATCAGGAGCTCAAGTGTTTGGATTGAGTGCTTTTGTCAGTAACACACTCATCTATGTTTTTGGTCTCTCACACACTCCTGGCAAAATGTACCTTGTGTCAAGCTGTGTTGGTCAAACTGCCTGCCTGTCCTGAGCTGGGAAAACTCTGAGAAATGTTTCACTGGAAAGAGAAGGAGAACACTGATAAGACTTGCTAATGCGAACACACCCACGAGCACAAGTGTTCATTCTGACATGATCTCTTACCATAAGGCGTTGGAGGAGACACTGGGAAGGCAGGAGTGGGAGGGACGATGTCAGAGCTAACTGTCCGTCCTTGATAGTCCACACTGTTGTATTTATAGAGATGTCCGTGCTTTTTAAAAAGAAAGAAGTAAGAAAGAGGTATGAAAAAGGGGAGAAAAGTAAAAAGCCCATTTTCCCCCACAAAGTCTTAAAAGATGACAAGACACACACACACACAAGCAGACATCAGTCTTGTGATCTGTGTGTGGCTGCAGCCTGTGTTTTGGTGTAAACACTTGGGCCATTCATTCCACCCAGCTGTAAGACTGAGTGCAAAACTAAAAGACTGATAATAATAATAAAAATAAGAGCAAAGACAAAGAAACATCAACATTAAGATGTAGACATTGTTGCACAATCAGGATCTCTTTATCTCCTTCTCTGTAACAAAATTGAAAGTGCTACATCTAGTAAAGCCCTGTCCACACAAACATGGGTAATTTGGCCGTTCACTAGTGACGAATGAAACACGTACTTTTGGAAAGAGGGCATTCATGCATTTTATGCGGTTGCCAGCATGCAGCATAACAACCACAGCCACTGGAATAACCCCAGACGTGCTTGTAAAAGAATGGGTCGAGTTTGACTGCTGATTGGGCATATGCCTTGCATTCAGAAGGAGACACATTGACTACTTTTACTCAGGCATGCATTTTAAAATTCATAGCATGTTTCTAGGGTGATTACTTCAAAGAATGTAGCTTTTTGAAAGCAGATGATTATGCATGATCCAATGCAATGTTAGCTTTATAGCCAATTTGCTCATGCTTTTAGCTTACCCCTGCTTGACTTTGTGACCTACTGTATTAGATTTGCTGATTCTCTAGCACTGCTAATATTTTCTTTGCATTGTTTCAAATTAGCTGATGATGATTTGCTGCTTTTTGCTTAGTTCCATTGGTGATATTTTAGCTTTGCATATTCCATTTATAGTAATGTGCAAAGCTAACGTGATGTTACCTTTGTGTCACACTAGCTAATGCTATAGCTCAAATATTTTAGCTCTATTCTTGATAGTTTATCTGTTTCATTTAATGCTACATTTCTAATAACCCACTTACCATAGCTTAACATCTCATTTCAGATTAAGCTTCTTAACTGAGGCTAGATCGTTGGCAGGTTTGCTGTGTTGTTATTTTATGTGTTATTTTATGTATTAAGGTTTAAATAAAATTGTTTTTACAGATATATCCCAGTATGTAGTATATATTTTACTAAAATGAAACCTAAAAAGTGTGTTTACCTGAGAGGGCAAGGAAGGACTGTAGCCTGGGGAACTCCTTAGGCTCTGATGTCCACCCTCTCTCCATACTGGACTATGATGACCAGCGTAATCTGTAACATCAGTGACCTGCTTCTGTTGTATCCAACCTGATTGGAAAGCAAAGTGATAACGAGGGTTGAAGTTGGGGAGGGCAGTGGTGTGTGAGGAAGAAAGGGAGAGAACAGACAGTCAGTCAGATTATGATCTGAAATGCAGTCAACCACAGATTCAAATTCAGTCATTCCTTTTTCTTCTCCATTGCATATGCTTAAAGTTTTGTCTATTCTAATACAAACAACACTGAACAGTAGTTGGACTTTATTCTGACCGGTTGCAAATTAAGAAAGAAAAGCTGATGACGGTGATTCCTCTTTGACGTGTTGCCTCTGACAAAAAGCTTCTATTAGTATACATGTATCAACAAAGCAGGGAGACTATCACAAGGGCAGAGCTTATATGACTAAGCAAGACTTCACTGTGACCAGATGGTGGAACATCGGGGCGGCTTGTCTGGAAACCATCTGCTGAAACAATCAGTTGTTCTCTTTTCAAATATGAGTGGATAGCCCCCTGAGCTGGATCTTATCTAACATCAGAAATACTTAAATGATCTTTCTCAATAAGTACAACATTTGTTGTATGGAACTATGAAGAGAGTATAGTTGATAGCTAAAGATTCAAAAAGAACCAAAAGTCAACCAATTGATAAGGAAGTATGAGATAACTACAATATTACTGTAACTTAAATCATCCTAAGAGCCTGCAACAGTTAGCTTAGTATTGGCCTCGCTGAGTGCACACAGCTTAGAAAAACAACTAGATACGTCCTGAGCTGACTAACCAAATGTAGACTGTATGAAGCCTCTCACCATCGGCTTATTGCTTAGCGCATTCCCCTTTCCTTATGGTTAACCTTGCAGTTCCAGAAATCACATCACTTTAAGAAACAACAACATCCAACCTACGCACATCTGGATGGAGCAAAAAGGCAGCACTGCTTGGTTCTTTCAATGAACAGCTTTAAAGTCTTACAAAGTATTAGTCTTGCAAAACCTGATCTAACTCCACAGCTTTGTTCACAATGGTAGCGCTTGCCTCCCCATGTGCAAAACTCATCAGCAACCCACGCCACCAACCAACCATTCACTAGGTTCTTCTCTCATGTGTTGTAATAGAGGATTGTATCCCTGTTTTGAGGTTTTTAAATAAAATATTATAACTATAAATCAGTTACCCAAATTTGTTGACAGATATTTAAAGTCAAAGTGGTAGTGCCACAAACTGACATTCATGGAATGTCTCCATTAAAGAACACAAAAAGTCAAAAAAAAAAAGTAAGAAACAATTCCCGAGTTGCAAAAACAAAGCCAATGGTGATAGCTTCTGTCTTGACCTCTGCAAGCACTTTTCCTGATGAGTTTGTGGGCTCAGACACTCATTTGGGGTCTTTGTCCTAGTGAGTCAATTCCCATAGGTTCCCATATTAAAATGTATCACTTCGAAGCATTAAAAAGCACATCTACAGCTAAAGAAAGGGGGGACAGAAGGATCATGGTTGTTTTCACTGAAACAGGCACTGTTAAAGTTAAATTCTATCATTTGTATCTTTATATTTATATGTTTATGTTTACAGCACTGTCTGCAGCTTGCTAACATTGCTTAGTAACACTAGTACACACTGAGTACACTCCTTCCTCTCACCACAGCATGATCCCTTCTAGGTACAAATTACAGCAGTCAGAACACTGACACTGAGTCCAGAAATCAGGGTTTTATGCTGTGGAGATTACATCAGTAGATTACACACAGTTCTATATGTTTCAACCAAAGAAGAAAAATATTTTTACATGCAATTGTGACCACAAAGTAAAGGTGGATTTTTTTAAAACTATACTTGGGCAAATATTTTGGGATTATTGTAAGTTATAAAACAGTCTTACTCAACAGCAATCACCAAAACCACACCATAACACAGCAACCACAGACTGATGTGAGTCACAATACAGATATACTGTACATGAGATCACCCTCAGTTGTGGATTCATGTATAAACAGTGACAAGGAACACTGTGAGCTCAGCTTTCACTGTGAGTATTCATCATCTCAGAATCACATGAAAGCAAAGCTAAAGTGGACCAACTGAAACTAATCCAGTTACTGTCTGTCACACACCGGCGGGGCTGCCGAGGGAGCAGTGTCGAGTATCACTTCGTGCCCACCGTGTTTGTGAGAGGGCTATTCTCTTCTGAAGATGATGAGAGGGAGAAGGACAGCAAAGTGTTGTGTCGCAACTTCAAAAGCATTCCTGATTGCTCACAAGTTCCTACCTCGAAACATTTCCACAGTAATTAAGCAAGTGAAGTGTTAGTTACAGATCAACCTCCAGCCTACTGATACACTTCATCAGCTACAAACATACATTTTAAGAACTGATATGAACGATTTAGGAGCTGTCAACCTTGCAAGCGCTCAAGTGTTGGGGTGGTCTTACATGAACCACTGGTGGATGATAACATCACTTGTACACTTAAAACCCACTGACCACAGATGACTACCAACTCAGTGGTTGGCTGGTAAATGCATTGAATTCTTTCCCATTCAGATTGCAAGTAATTGCGGCAACCATCTGCTCACATAGCGGTTGAGGGTGTTGCACGTTCAAGCTCTGTGCAACCACTTTCAATTGCATTACACAAAGATTTCAGAGTTAAGCATGCCAGATATAAACAAGCCAATCAAAACTTACGCACCCATCAAGTAGTCTGCTGAGTTAACCTGTGGGGATAGGGCCACATCAAAGTCTGTAACTATTTAACGACAAGTAAATCAGTAAACCTTAGTCCTAAATCTGCAATAAGACTAAACTGTCTCCTGACAAATGTATAATATCTTAACTTTATCCAAGAGCATCTGACATTCCCGACTGAATTTTGATAAAATTAAATTATGAAAAAGGATTGTTTTGATTTCTTTCACTGGCAAGAAGTCGAGTATGTCTGTAACCACACATACCTTATTTATGTAACCTTTTATTTCTGCCTCTGTATATTTCCATTCAAAATAAGACAGACTGGAGGGCAAACACATCATTGCATAGCAAGCAGTGAGGGCCTGATTTTACACTGCTTACATAGCAAGAATATGTAAGGCTGTTTAATCAAATGCTTCCTCCTTCTCAGGAAATACACTTACAAACACACCTTCTGTAAGAAATGCAGATGTAGCTCACAACCAAAGAGTGCATCGGCACTGCAGGCAGGATTATAAAAGCTTCCATGTGTTCAGACTGAACTGAGCTTAACGATATATAAAATACAAGTTTCATCTGTCCACAAGCAATTTTCACAGGTGTGGTAATGGTAAATGAACTGAATCTTATATAGCGCTTTTCTACTCAAAGCACTCTATACAACATCCCACATTCACCCAATCACACCCATTCACACCAGCACTGTCTTCGAAGTTTCTTAGTGCTTCCTAACTACCATTCAAACACATTCATACTCCAATGAACGCATTGGAGACCAATTTGGGGTTAGTATCTTGCATGCAGACTGGAGGAGCCAGGAAACCACAAACCTTCTGATCAGTAGATGACCTGCTGTGCCTCCTGAGCTACAGCCAAAAAATATGGTGAGAGATGCCTTAACCATATGTTTGTTGCAGGCCACTAGGGTCAATTCCATCCTTGTCAAGGGGAGTGCTAACCTTCTCTCTTTTCATACAACACGAACAAATGTGGTATTGTATTTGCTACATCTGGCTTTTTAAAAATTGTTTTTATCCATCATTCTGACGTCCATCATTTGTCCTCTGATTGCCAAGAATCTCGAGAACAATTTTATAAAATGACCTATTCTGATCAGGTTAGATGTTAAAGTCAACACTGATGCTAATCAATATTTTTCACTTTTATAGTAGTATTCGCCACACTTCTATGTGTATAATAAGTGGAATTTCCATTTATTTGTTCACAGAATATATTAAACTTAATCTATGTTACCTGTTAAGCACCTTGGCATACCCTTGGTTTTTAAGTGTGCTTTATAAATAAAGTTTATCATTATTATTATTATTAATCCTTAGGGGAACATAGTTACAACTGTGTGGTGGTCTTTCACTCCAACACACAAATGTCGACCTCTAAAATGTCCCTCTGGTGTTGGAGATATCTCGGATATAAGAGAGGAATCGCTAAAATTTGAGGCTTCCCATTCATTGATGAATATATTACTTGTAATAGCTGATGTGCCATGCATTGTGTTTGCTTTTACCTGACTGATGAGTTCTTCCCTTGTTGCTGAGGCCATTGCTGTGTAGGGAAGCAGAGCGAGTTAAGGGGGAATAGCAGGTAGGAACAGGAACAAAGGTGGGATCCAAATCCAGAATCAGCTGATTGAGCTGCTCTATGGACTCATCAATGTCTGTGGATAAAGACGCTAGTTCGTCTTCTTGACAAGCTGACGTTTGTGTGGTATTAGCAGAGTGTATGTTCTGTGTTTTATCTATGATATGTGCATCATTCTCGTGCACCAGCCCTCTCTGCACTGCTTCCCTGCTGCTGAGTCCTCGAGGTGGAGTGTCTGGAGCAGCCACAGATGCAGCCAGAGGTGGTGGCCTCCCTTTCTTTATCCTGCTCGACTTCCCATCCCCATCAACTGTAATGAAGTTATCACTGACAGCAGCCTTTTGTTGCTGCTGTACCCAGGAGTGCGTCAAGTACTCACTTTGGGCTAGATTCTGAGTTTTGGGCAGATTTTCGGACGAGAGGGAGCAAATACTACTTGAGTTCGGAATGTCTAGAGCAGGAACTGCACCACTATCTGCTTCATCCTCATCATCCAATATGTCAGTCTCCCTCTCGCTGGACGAAGCCTCTCCATTGATTGTGTGTCCCAATCCAGACTCATCTCTAGCTATCTCCTCCTTTCTTCCACTAGTTGAAGCCAGCTCAGTCATGACTTCCTGAAGACGCTGAGGAAGCTCAAAGTCCACCTCAGAGACCAGCTTCCCTGCTTGGGTGCACTTGTCCTGGTTGGCTTCTCTCTTCAGTCTGGCTCCAGTCAGCCCCTGTGAGGCAACAGACAAGCCAGAATCACTGCTGGCAGATGGAGCTCGGTCACTGCAACTACCACTGCAGGTAGTTAAAGGGAATGAAGCTCCTTCCTCACTACTCGTCTTCCTCTCTCTGGCACTCAAAACAATGTTTCCAGGGTCCAGGGCATGGGGGGGAGCTGTGGGTAGATAAAACAGAATTATACCATCAATTTTTTAAAGCAAAATAAAATAGAAAGTAATTTAGTCAGAGATAATATGGCATTCATATTTCTGACTTTTTTATGCCACTGGAGTTCTTAATGTTTAACTGGCTTTACAGGAGAGTACAACAGACAACTGGCTAATTACCTCTTTTGAAGCAGATTTTTTTTTTCAAATTGCTAAACTGTATTACGTCAGCAGCACAATCAGAGGACACAGATGTGATATTTCAGCATAAAATGGTCAAAGCTGCACTCGGACAACTGTATTTAAAGCTGAAAACAGCACCTTGGAATTGAACATATTCCTGCTACCGGTGATTCTGTGCCTGCACAACTACTGTACATGACTCATTACGGCAGACACACTCCATGGAGATAACACAGAGCCCCATTGTGTTTGCTGGTAGATGCATGTGTCACACAAAGGACGTGTCTTTCATAGACGTCTACCTTGGGTCAGATACAACCGATAGCATGGTCACGCACACAGCTTTTCTATCCTTTAACTGGGTGTAGCAACAAGAGAATATATTTGTCTTCCTGCAATTCCTGCAATGATATAGCTTCAGAAATGGGACAAATTGCTATTTTTTGTCATATACGGTGCTTAACAAATTCATTAGACCACCTGTCATAAAAACAACAAAAAACTAATATGTTAGAAATCCTGTGTAAAACTAATAATGACTGAATTCATGTTTTATACTTTGCTGAGAAGTCACAAATTAGGTAAGTAAGGTTCATTCAGGTAGCGCTTTTCACAACAAAAGAGTGCTTTGCAATACAGAATGAGTGTAATTCAGTGTAACAATCATTACTGGTAGTTTTATTTTAGCATTAAAAATATTATTTTGATTTAAGAGCTTATCCATGCTGGTGGATTAACCACTAAAGTATTTAATATAGCATCATATTAGATTTTCAATACTTTAAACATACTTTTATGTATAAAGTATTTATGGTTAGAACATAAAAGCAGTCTAATAAATTTGTTAAACACTGCATATCATATGACAGTAAGCTAGGTCTTTGACATTGTTATAGACCAAATGAAAATATCTGCACATTGTATCTGTGAAACACAGAAAACTAAACAGTGCTGTATAACTAAAAGAGCAAGTTATCTTCCAAAACAGGGTGCTGCACTTCGACAGGACTGCCCTGTATAGTAAATACAACAATACGTACAGTGCATACCAGAGCTGTATGAAGATAGCCTCTTAAGTCCAGAGAGGCAATAAAACTCAAATACCAGACATGCATGGTAAACCCTCACAGCTGGTCTAATAGCTCTCTCACAGAGAGATGCACACAGTTTCCAAACATGCTGCATAACTCCACAATTTACAGAACTTCATCACTTTAATAGAAGTAAATAAATAAATAAATGAAGTCGAGCTTACTTTTTCGACTGCTAGGAGTAAACTTTCACTGGCCCCACTGCAGACTAGAAACAGGATGGAAATGCTTTGCTGAAGCCTAACCACCCGAGTCACAGAAAGAGGAAAACAGGAACAGATGACAAGCAGAATGGAAAGAGACACAGGGACGAGGGTAGAATGAAAAGGATGGAAGTGAAAGCAAAGTGAAAAAAGATTTAGGCTAGCTTCTCTTCTTCTTACAGTCCTCACTGTCTCTCAGGCTGCCACAGGAAGACAAGCAAAGAACATTCTTTCTCTTAAGGTGCTAAGAGCTCTCCAGTGTCCCCCCTCCTACTCTCTCTTTCCCCTCTCTCATGTCATTCTTGCACTCAGTCCCTGCACTATGAATCCCCGCCTTTGCCGTCAACACGTAATTCGCTCTGCTTTGCCTCCTTTTTTTTGCCCTCCCCCCTGCATCCTGTCCAGGCTGCGACAGGTAGGCAGAGAGAGAGTGCACTCATGCATTTTTATGTCCAAAGGGGAAACTGGAGAGAAAGGAAACTGAAGGGTGGATCATTCACTAGACTTGCAATCACACACACACACACACACACACA